CCTCTCTCTCTCTCTCTCTCTCTATATATATATATATATATATATATAAAATGAGTTGTTAATACACACCTCAATTTTCGTGTTTAATCTCTCTCTTACTCTCTCTTACTCTCTCTCTCTCTCTCTCTATATATATATATATATATATATAAAATGAGTTGTTAAATACACACCTCAATTTTCGTGTTAATTCTCTCTCTCTCTCTTTCTTTCTTTCTCTATATAAATATATATATATATATATAATGAGTTGTTAAAGCTTCATCCCAATTTTTGTGTTAATTCTCTCTCTCTCTCTCTCTCTCTCTATATATATATATATATATATATATAATGAGTTGTTAATGCCACACCCTAATTTTTGTTAATGCCACATCCTCCCTTCTCACCTCATGATTCATTTTGCACTCATCCCATGTCCTCGGTTCATAGCTCATGTCCTCGACCTAGACCTGGTCACATGTTCCATGTACTTAGGACAATTCTGCAATATTATTTTAGATCCTTTTAGTCATAATATATATTTATTTATAATGATATCATTTTTTGAATTGTTCTTACTTCTATTTACATAATTAGTTTTTATTTATATGTTGATTGGTTAACTGAAATATTAGTTGAATTTCAAAATTTATTCATACACCATGAAATCTATTGTTATGCAAAACTCATACCTCCAAAATGTTATCTTAAAAGCCAATTCAAATAAATTAAAATGACGAATTACATATATAAAATATTAGATTTTCTTAATTTTATATTTTAAAAAATATTTAAGTTTTTTTTTTTTTTTAATTAAAGAATTGAAGTGCATAGTGTATTTAGTCCAAATTTTGTAAAAAAAAATATATCCTTAAAGAAAATAATGGTATTTTTAAACTTTTGAATATATCCAATAAAATTTTATATGTTATCAAAAAGGTTAATTTTATTAAATGATATTTTAAAATTTAGTTACAATTTTTTAAAATTAAATTCTAATTTTAGATATTCTTAATATTAATATATATAAAAAAAAGTTTGTGATTATGATTCTTGTTATATTTGGATTTTTGCAACTCAACTCATTTCAGATCTAAAACTACAAATCAACTAGACATATTTCATTAATTAGTATCATTTGAATAATCTATTGAATCAAATCATATCTAAATTTAGAATTCAGAATTTAATTTTTATTAAAGAAATTTTTAAATATGTATAATAATTAAGAAAAGAAATAAATTTTATAAAAAATATTTTAGTTCCAAACTTTTGAATAATTAGAATTTTAAATGTTTCTTACTTACAAAATTTAATAATTTTAAATTAATACCAAAATTTCACTTGATTTTAATTGGCTTTTATTGTTATTCATCTACAAAACATTTATACTATGATTTAAATAACTAGATTAGTTCACTACAAACTTAATATTACAAATGATTGTAAATATTCTACTCTAAATTTAGAAAATTTAAACTTAATTATCAGTTTTTTACTTCATATTTAAATATAAGAATATTTAAAATTGGTTAATTAAATTCTAAAATTAAAATTATTATTTTTGTTTTAATTAAATCAAATTAACTTAAGGTAGGAGAAGGAGAGAGGGTCGGTATGGAAATGGGGGACATGGGCTAAGAACAAGGTCAAGGACATAGGACATGTACAAAATAAATCATGAGGTAAGAAGGAGGGATGTGGTATTAACAAAACTAGGATGTGACTTTAATGACTTCCAATATATATGAAATATATATATATATATATATATAATTTAATTATTTAAAATAAAATTAAGTTAATATAAAAATTTGAAATCATTTAAAACACACACACACATATATATATATATATATATATATGAATATAAAATAGACCCAAGTTTTTACTAAATCAACCCATCTAACCTAACCATCATGAAAGAAAATAATGATTTTTGGATTTATTCCTCCATTGTTAGACTTGGAACTAATATAAACCAACCATATTCATTATGATTACTATATTCTTTATTAAATATGGGTCTATTTAGTAAAAGCATGGGTCTATTTAACATTCTCGTATATATATATATATATATATATATATATTACTTTTATTTATAACATTGTATTTCAAGAAAAACAACAAAATTTGGACATTAGAAATTTTACAAATTCTAAAGAATTATAGATTGTTTAATTATTGTAAATTTAAAGATAAGCTTTAATAATTTAAAAGAAAAATGATGATGCCATAAAATTTATTAAATTATCTTAAAATAAAAGATGTAAAATCTTATTGTTTTGGGTAGAGGATATGTATGGTTTTTTACAATATCATTTAATAAAAGTTTCATTTAAAAGTTCTACTTACAAGAGTTTTAGAGCTACTTTAAAGCACTAAAAAAAGGTTTAAATTACTAATAAATTCTAATCTAACTTATATTAAATTATACTTGAACAATCAATGATAATTTTTAATTTTTTTTTGGTTTTTAACTAATACTAGTAATCAAAACTATATATATATATATATATATATATGACTAAAAGTTTTAAACAACAATGTTTTTGTGAATTTTTATAGAATAGTTTAAGTCATTAGAATTTGCATTTTTAATTTGTAATAGTATAAAAATTTCAGAAGTTTTAAATGTTTTTTATAAGTTTGATTTAGAATCTAAAAACTAAATCAAAAAATTAATTGTATCATTTAAAAACAGAAATAGTTATTATAGGCACATTGGTGTCATCTTCGACCTTATGGAATCCTCACATATATTTGATTTGTTTAAGAATGCAAAAGACTATTTGAATTTTGATACTAAAATTTGTATTTCAAAATATAAAATAGAATTCCAGACTTTTTATCTCCATTTGTAACTATGCATTTGAATTTTTAAATTTCAAGTTGTGGAATTAATAATAACACTAAATTGTTATTGCAAACAAATTTTCATTGTATATTTCTTTCTTGTTTTTTGGAAATTTTTTTCATCTGTTTTTACTTAAAGTTGTTATTATTTAAAATATTATATTAATTCGGTAAGATAATAATTATGTAAGTCAATAAATAAAATTTAGAGTTTTATTAAAGAATTGAACAATGAATTGAAAGATTGATACCTGCAATACATTGACCTTATACATTTGTATAATTAAGATTTAGGGCTGTCTAATCTATAAGAAATGAAAACACAGATGACGTACTTATACTGTAAACCTCATCACAATTTTATAAACAATTTTATTAACATATCAATTACAAAAAATATAATATTTTTGTAATGTTTTTAATGTTTTAAATGGTTCTGATAATAACTTGTAAAATATCCAAGAATTTGTTAATTAATTTACAACTTGTCAAATAATTTAATTTAAAATTACAATATATACATATATATATATATATATATATATATATTCTTATAAAAATGATATAAATTTACTTGGTAATTTATAAAATTCCTATTTAATTTTAAAAAACGCCTTAGTCGTCTAAAAATATATAAGCTATTTGTATTTTTATCCTTAAATGCAAATATCTTGTATGAAATTATAGCTGCATTTACAATAAGATTGCTAGTATTGTATATGTTGATAAAATCATTTATAGCTGATTTTCTCAATCTAAAGCAAAAGAAATTCATATATATATATATATATATATATAATCAAATAAATAAAGCTAATTTTACTATGAATTTTGGTTGTGTTGATCAGACATGGATTTGGTATTTTTTCCTAAAATAATTCCTTACAAAAATATATTAATTTATATTAATCTTTTCATTTTTCAATCGTTTTAATTAATTAATGAAGGATTCTTGTAACTACCTTACAACTTCACCTACATGCACCATTTTGAATAATTTGCTTAATTCATCTTTGCAGTGTTTAGAGTGACGTCTTCTGCAAACTAAGCCATTACCAATAGAATAGGATATGAATTTCAGGAGTTAAATGATTAAAATGAAGATTCAACCTCACAACCATTTATATTAACCATCGGTGGAAACACAATACAAACTCCATGTTTGTTACCTTTGCAGTGGCTGCGCTATTTGAGGGCCGACAGCATTCCTACGTTCAGAAAATTTTGCTGGGGCTGGATTGATCCAACCATGGTCACATGATAGGATTCTGCGAAGGGGTCCCCTCACAGTTGCAACCGACTGCACAACGCAGGCCAACATTAAGAATACAAAAATCTGTCGAAAGAGTGCGAACATAGTACAAATAACAAAACCAGCCAACATTCAATGACACTAGGCTCTATCCGTGCCCCCAGGAGGAGCCTAGATGCTCCAGGATTCATCGGTGAAATGTAATTGCCATACCTCAATTGGGTGTATATGTACTCAAAAAGATGATCAAGAAATGATTAATCTCAAAACAAAAGCAACTTTGCACCTTATTCCTTAGTAAGAAATGAACCGGAATCGTTACACGATTAGCTTCCAATCATCTGAGATGCAACTTCCCCCTACACAAGATCTGGTGCCTGAATATCGCCAGTTCTTCACACCATACATGCAATCCACCAGGTGCCCGCTTATGTACTGATGATGAACGCAATCAATCAAATGAGACGCAACTGAACGCAATACATCTCACCACATGTACTGTAC